GGTGGCTTCACATCGCACATGTTCGGCAAGGTGTTTGCCATCGTGGTGGCGCCTCTCCCACTCCCTACACTGCCCCATTTCCCCCCCCGTTCGCCCCTTGTCTCCCCCTCCCCTCATCCCCTCCCAGACGGCGGCTTCACATCGCACATGTTTGGCAAGGTGTTTGCCATCGTGGTGGCGGCGCTCATCCTCGCTGCTCTCATCAGCTTCGGCATCTACAAGTATCGGCTGAGGGTGAGTCAACACCAGTCAACGCGGGTCAAACCCAGGCTCAAGGTGAGTCAGCGCAAGTCAAAGAGAGTCAAACAGCATATCGATGTGTTTCATTGTGCTGGCCATCGTGGTGGCGCTGCGCTTATCCTCGCTGCCCGTATCAGCTTCGGCATCTACAAGTACCCTGCCTGAGGTTGAGTCAACGCCAGTCAACGCGAGTCAAACAGTGACGAAGTTCTCCTCAATGCAGATCTCATCAGCTTCAGCTTCTGCAGTGAGTCTAACGTGCGTTAAAGACAGGCTGAGGGTGAGTCAACACAAGTCAACACAAGTCAACACAAGTCAACACAGGTCAACACAGGTCAACACAGTCAAACAGGGACTGGATGCACCTCAGTGCTGTTCCGTCATCAGCATTGAGGTCTGCGGTGTGAGTACCAGCCAAGGATGAGTTAGTGGTGGTCAATGCGGTCAATGGGAGTCAATGCGGTCAATGGGAGACAATGCGGTCAATGGGAGTCAATGAGGTCAATGGGAGTCAATGTGGTCAATCGGAGTCAATGCGGTCAATGGGAGTAATTTCCCACCTTTCTGCATCCATTCACTTCCCTGCAGGCATACATGGATTCGGAGATTTGCACCATCATGGCGCAATGCGTGCCTCTGGACAGCAGGAGGAGACAAGCCTCGTAATTGTTCATTCATTCCTCACCTATGTGTCTGTGTGCGTGCATGTACGTGTGTATGTGTGTGTCTGCAGGCCTACATGGACTCGGAGATCCGCACCATCATGGCGCAGGACATGCCAACTGATGTTCATTTATTCCCCGCCTCACTGTGCATGCATACGTGGCTGCCCCTGCAGGCATACATGGACTCGGAGATCCGCACCATCATGGCACAGTACATGCCGCTGGACAGCCAGCAGCAGGATGGGGCCACTCGTGAGAGCCTTGTGCAGACCGCATGATCTGAAGGGGGGCCTTGTCCATGTGTGGCTTTTGAGGCACCTCAAAAGCAGGGGCATGGGCATGGAAAGGGGCATGGGCACGGGCATGGACATGGGCATGGCACGGGCATGGGCATGGGCATGGGCATGGGCACGGGCATGGGCATGGGCATGGGCATGGGCATGGGCATGGGCATGGGCATGGGCATGGGCATAGGCAAGGAGAGGAGCCATACTGACATACTCTCCACCTAAACTGAAGGCCTTCACCTTACTATAGGGGTTAGGTTGAGGCGGCTTGTAACTGCCATTGTAATGTCCGATCCCAAACTACATGTGGGGGCTTAGGCTGAATTTCCAGCTTATTTCCCGAATGTACTCTAATTCATCTGAGTGTTAGTGGGGAGGGGACCTACGGTACGCTGAAATTGACAATGCGTGGTTTGCGCTGTCTGCCGAGATTACCGTAGCAGTCATTTTGCTGTTCTGCTTCTGTTCTGTCAATCACACCAGTACAGTGGCAACAGTGATTTATTGGAGGGGCGGTTTTCGCCTCGTTGGCACCAAATGTGTAGAATCTCAGTTGCTGATTGGCCATTTCAACAGCTTCAGACAGCATAACTCTATCGACCAGTACACACGTTGCAGCATTTGGCAGATATACAACACGACACACAACGTGGCGACAGTAACTGCGACTCATCGTTGCCATGCATGCGAAGGAGCCGCCCAGCTGTAGGACCTTAACGAACATCATAAGGCCCATTGTCTCTGAGGGCTTCTTTCCCCCCCTAGAATATCAGAGAGACACGGATAGATGCTCCTACGCCGACTCCTATATGCATAATCTTGTCTGAAAACCAACACTGGGGATGCCCGATTGATCCTAGGGAAGGGTTACAGGCTCGCTGTCCTGGGGGGTTATGGGCGCACTGACCCGCTACTTAACAAGCCCTTTTATCCCAATGTTCTAGTGGTTGGGATTTTGGCATGGTATCAGAGCGAAGGTCTCGGGTTCGAATCCCCATGTGTGCATATGCTGGCGGTGCCGCTGTGCCGTGTCCTAGGGCCTCCCTGTGCGGGGGGGTGTCTGAAAACCAACACTGGGGATGCCCGATTGATCCTAGGGAAGGGTTACAGGCTCGCTGTCCTGTGGGGTTATGGGCGCACTGACCCGCTACTTAACAAGCCCTTTTATCCCAATGGTCTAGTGGTTGGGATTCTGACAAATCTGATCTCCCTTGCTAAGACCCTGCCTTTGAATCTCCTTTCCACGCCAGCTGGTCACTTGGCATATTTCTTCTTGATGACAGCCAGGCTCACCGCACCGTTGCTGGTGGGTGTTGTTGCACCAGGTTTGGTAAGACTCGTTTTGTGGCAAAGAGAGGCCAGTGTCAAAACTAGCAGTAGAAAGTAGAAACAGGAAAGAAAGAGTTGGACTAGCAACAGTTGGGATACATATAGGAAACCCTAAGTTGGGCTGTACTCGCTATAGAATACCCCACTGCAGGCTAGACAAATACAACATTCTGACACACCCCCATAGCCAAAGTGGGGTGTAATCAGCACAATAAGCAGGCAGCGCAATAGTTCACAATAATAAGCAAAGCTAGAGGCTATCACAGAGGGCAAGTGAGGAGGAGGAGAGACTGTGGGGGCGAGAAGATGGGAGGCGACGGCTGAAGCTGCAGGCACACGGGCGACAGGAGCGGCTGGCTCAGTGGCTACCGGGACAGCGCCCCGGACTACTGGAGTAACAGGCTCCGCGGCTACGACGAGCGGTAGGAGCAACGGACCCACGGGCGACAGGCGCAGCAGGCTCTCTGGGCTACCAGCGGCAGAGCCCCGGACTACAGGTGCTGCGGACGACAAGACGGCTGCCTCCACACAACCTCCTCCAACTGTCCCACGCCCCTATCACACACCCCTTGCTGAACCCCTAGCTCCACTGCCACGTCACCCCCCTAGCGCCACTCCCCTCGGCTCCCACACCTCCACCCCCCTCAGCGGCAGCTGCAGCAGTGGGAGACGAAGAAGGAGGAGGAGAAGGGGAAGGGTAGCACCCACACCGCTCACCCCCATGCCCGCCACCCCCAAACCCTAACGCAGGCAAGAGCGCGGGATGCAGCAGGGGCGGTTCACGGAGGGAAAGAGAGGCGGCGGGTGGGTCTCCTGGGCGCCACGAAGGAGCAGGGCGCGGGCCCCCCCCGGGGCGCCACGGCGGGCGACGGAGCAGGCCGCGCACGGGCCCCCGGGGCGCCTTGACGGGACGGGCAGCGCACGGGCCCCCGGGGCGCCGCGACGGGTGACGGGGGGCCGCGCGCGGGCCCCCTGAAGGCGCCGCGACGGGCGACGGGGGGGGGCACGTGCATGCCCCCTGAGGGCGCCGCGACGGGCGACGGGGGAACCGCGCGCGGGCCCCCTGAAGGCGCCGCGACGGGCGACTGGGGGCAGCGCGCGGGCCCCCTGGAGGCGCCACGACGGGCGACGGGGGGCAGCGCGCGGGCCCCCTGAAGGCGCCGTGACGGGGCGACGGGGGGCAGCGCACGGGCCCCCTGAAGGCGCCGCGACGGGCGACGGGGGGGGGGGGCGCGTGCATGCCCCCGGAGGGCGCCGCGACGGGCGACGGGGGGCAGCGCGCTGGCCCCAGGGGGAACCACGACGGGTAGGGCAGGAGCGCGCGGGGCAGGGCAGGCGCACACGACGGGTAGGGCAGAACACCGCCATGCGCCCCGAGCGCACGGCGGGAAGAAAAACCGCCGCGCGCTCCGAGCGCGCGGCAGAAAGAAAACGGCGCGCGCCCGAGGCGCGCGACAGGCAGTACAGCAGCGGAAGCATCGGGTGGGGCCCACCCACAGGATCGACCGGGGGGGTCGACCTGCTCTGATAGCATGTCAAAACTAGCAGTAGAAAGTAGAAACAGGAAAAAAAGAGTTGGACTAGCAACAGTTGGGATACATATAGGAAACCCTAAGTTGGGCTGTACTCGCTATAGAGTACCCCACTGCAGGCTAGACAAATACAACATTCTGACAGCCAGGCCACATGAATGGCTGCCTGCTCGAATTTGTTGTCATGTGCCTTCTTGCACGCATTCTGCACGCAAATCTAGTCCCCCCTCAACCCCCCTGTTGAGGTTCCAGTTGACAAGGAACACATCACACACATCATTCCCCTGAACCCATTTGTAAAAAGGAAAGGTGAGAGAAGCGGTATAGACTCTTGACCACTAGCCTCCACTTTCCAATTTGTGCCTGCCTGTTTGTCACGTCACGGTCATTACAGTACCCGGTCATATGCTACCCATTGATCTCATGAATTGTCTTGAGCATGTAGCTCCATTTTTTTTTTTTTTTTTTTTCCCCGTTGTTTTGTCAGATTGTCGATCACATGGCGCTAGAGGTAGCGGTCATTGTCATGCTGCGAGACCAAACCTCGTATCCGATCCTTATCCATCCTTGTAACTGGGTCCTGAGTTCGATGAACACCACCCTCCCTTGAAAGCGCTTCTTCCTCTCTTCAGAAGCTTCTCCACTGCCAGGATGCAGCGAATCATCCCCGCCGAGAGCACGGAAGGGTCATGCTTAAGAACTACTTCAATAGTAGCAGGGTTGAGAGCACGCTCGCGGAGGAAATTCGCAACCTCAGGGATATGCTTATTCAAGTAAACCACATTTTCATCCGCACACGCATGTTTAATGTTGCGTTGCCAGATGTAATTGGCATATTGAGCAAATAAGAAAGTTACCCGGATGCGACCATATCTTGCTTTAGACAGATAGGGCGTTGTCAAACATGGAACTTCTGCGGCATCACTGAAAAGTACAATAATAATTAGCTAGAACTTAACGTTTGCAGCAAGCGAACCAGATGAAGCCGGGTTCGCTCCTTCGGCAAGATCGTTATTGAGGTAGCCTTCTTCCTCCTCCTCCTCCTCCTCCTCCTCCTCCTCCTCCTCCTCCTCCTCCTCCTCCTCCTCCTCCTCCTCCTCCTCCTCCTCCTCCTCCTCCTCCTCCTCCTTCTCCTCTTCCTCCTCCTCCATATCAAAGATTTCATGGCCTGGATTAGTGAGAGCCTAAACCTTGTTCCCGATATCCTCCTTGTCCTCTTTACCCGCCTTGGTCTCCTGTCCATCTTTGATGTTGTTCACCTTAATAACAGATAGCCGAGAAATAATAGAGAATTGTCCCTGCTCTTTGAAAGGCTTCGCCCGTTTCTGAGATGTAAGAAGTGTGGTTATTGGACTCTCCTTGTTGGACGTCTTAGCCAACGACGAGATCAACCAGAGCAGATGCACAGGAGCCTTGGTTCTCATTGCCTTTGACAGTTTTCCCTTTCGGCGACTTAGTGCGTTTATCAGAGTTGAACGGTTGCAGCAATGGATGCCAGAAACACCACTATGACAACAGTAAGTGTCGCCCTTTTTCCTTGTATTCTTGCGATGATAGACGATTTTAGTCCTTGACTTGTCTCTTACTCGTTCCCCTAGAAAGCATGGCTGGAATAGCAGCCTTGAGAGTATCTTGTCGTACCTTGGTATTACTGAACTCTTTTGGCTCTCGTAAGTTTCTTTAGAACCTTAGGGTTTTATGCAACAAACCCTGCGATTGAGACCAACTCTGAGACGGTATAAGAAATAACAAGGTTTGCTGTATGAACAAGTAACAGGTAGCTCCACATAGGTCTTGAAACCGAGAATTTGTTTGTCATTGACAATGTATTTTTATGCAAGAAACTGAGCAACATTAGTAGTTCCGAAGGCTTGGGAAATAAGGCGGTCATGTCAGAATCCCAACCACTAGACCACTGGGATAAAATGGCTTGTTCCAAATGCGGGTCCGTACGTCCAAATCCCCCCAGGCTAACATGCTTGTAACCCCCCTAAGATCAATCGGGGATCTCACAGTGCAGGTCTACTGACACCCCCCCACACTGGGAGGCCCGGGACTCGGCACAGCGGCAACGGCCTGCATGTGCATACACCGGGATTCGAACCTGATGCCGCTCTGATACCATGTCAGAATCCCAGCCACCAGACCACTGGGATAAAATGGCTTGTTCCAAATGCGGGTCTATGCGCCCCAACCCCCCCAGGCTAGCGTGCCTGTAACCCCCCTAGGATCAATCGGGGATCTCACAGTGCAGGTCTACTCACACGTCATGGATTTACCATACCAGGGCAGGGATATTCTTGATGATGCGTAGTAATAGATTTGTACATGTGCTTTCGAGTTCATGTGCAATTTAACACTCCCATGACCTACGTACACTGTTTCTTGCTACGTTCTCCCGCAAAAAAAATTGCAGGCTAACCGTATTTTGTTCGAAGTGCCTAACTGAACCATACCGATCCGAAATCTAACATTATTTAAACGTTCTCTTCTATCTTGGATGCCAGTAGCGGGATATAGGGTGCATCCTCTAATTTGATGGAAACATTTTGGCATGTGACTAAAGCAGTCGGATCTGTTTGAATAGTAGCATTAGGGACATAATTGGCTATAACATACACATGTGGAACCAGCGACGACACCCACAAGTACAAATAGTTACACTTGTTACATTATGGATGCATTAAAATCTCACTTCGCTTCTCGAGAAGGAAGTAGCCTGAGCAAGGTGTACACCCTATTTCTAGAACTTCTCACCGGCGCATGTCAGAATGCTGTATTTGTCTAGCCTGCAGTGGGGTACTCTATAGCGAGTACAGCCCAAATTAGGGTTTCCTATATGTACTCAACTGCCTGCTAGTGCAAACACTCTTTCCTGTTCTAACTTTCTGCCTACTATTTCTGAAATGCTATCAGAGCGGTCACGCTCCTAGCCTGTGGGCCCACCGTTAGCTTCCGCTGCTGTCCTGTCTGTCGCGCGCCCCGTGGCGCGCGACGTTTTTTTCTTCCCGCCACGCGCTCCTGGCGCATGGCGGTTTTTTGCCCGCCGAGCGCTCAGGGCGCGCGGCGGTTTCCTGCCCCGTCGACCAGCGCGTCGCCCCCCCGTCGCCCGTCGAAGCGCCCCCGGGGACCCGCGCGCCGCCCCCCCCCCTCCCGTCGCCTTGTCGCGGCACCCTGGGGGCCCGCGCGCCGTCCCCTCCCGTCGCCTCGTCGCGGCACCTTGGGGGCCCGCGCGCCGTCCCCTCCCGTCGCCTCGTCGCGGCACCCAGGGGGCCCGCGCGCCGTCCCCTCCCGTCACCTCGTCGCGGCACCTTGGGGGCCCGCGCGCCGCCCCCCTCCCGTCGCCTCGTCGCGGCGCCTTGGGGGCCCACGCGTCGCCCCCTCCCGTCGCCTCGTCGCGGCGCCCTGGGGGCCCGCGCGTCGCCCCCTCCCGTCGCCCGTCAAGGCGCCCTGGGGGCCCGCGCGCGGCCCCCCTCCCGTCACCCGCCGTGGTGCCCTCGGGGGGCCCGCGCGCTCTCCCCTGCAACTCGCGATTCGCCCCACCAGCTCGCGAGCCGCCCTTGCAGCCCGCGCGTGCTGCCCTGTGGAGCCGCGCACCGCTCCCTGCCCTCGTGCAACTGCGCGGTGCCGATTCTGGGGGTGGCGGGTGTGTGTGCGTCGCCACTCGCTCCTCCTCCTCCTCCGTCTCCCACTACTGCAGCTGCCGCTGAGGGGGGTGGATGTGTGGGAGCCGGAGGAGTGGCGCTGAGGGGGTGCCGTGGGAGTCGAGCTAGGGGTGCAGCAGTGGGTGAGTGAAAGGGGTGTGGGACAGCTGGGGGAGGTTGAGTGGAGGCAGCCGTCTTGTCGTCCGCAGCGCCAGTAGTCCGGAGGCTACAATCTCCGGTAGTCGCCAGTCGCCCGTGGGTCAGTTGCTCCAGCCGCCAGTAGTCCGGAGGCTACAATCTCCGGCGTAGCCGCGGAGCCAGTTACTCCTGAAGTCCGGGCCTTTGCTCCGGTAGCCACTGAGCCAGCCGCTACAGTGTGTCTGCAGCTTCAGCCGTCGCCTCCCATCTTCTCGCCCCCATAGTCTCTCCTCCTCCTCAGTTGCCCTCTGTGATAGCCTCTAGCTTTGCTTATCATTGTGAACTATTGCTCTGCATGCTTATTGTGCTGATTACACCCCACTTTGGCTATGGGGGTGTGTCAGAATGTTGTATTTGTCTAGCCTGCAGTGGGGTACTCTATAGCGAGTACAGCCCAAATTAGGGTTTCCTATATGTACTCAACTGCCTGCTAGTGCAAACACTCTTTCTTGTTCTAACTTTCTGCCTACAATTTCTGAAAGCGCAAGCACTAGCTACAGTGTTTGGATTTTGCCAAACATATCAACATCGCAGATAGTAAAATTGGGCCTATAAAGAACCCAACCGTTGTTATTTTGCGGAAGGTTCGCAGACTTCGTTGTATGTCGGTCCGCTTTGTTACCACTGGTTCATCACCACTGCATTTGATGTTTTGTTCCACACGTTGCCCGTTTGACACACCACCTTGCTGGTGCAACTTGCTCGGCGGGTCTGAAAAACCGCGTGCAACTGGCTGGCACCAATTGTTCATAGGCAAGAATTCGGTAAAGGGCAGGGCAATTTCGCGGGCAGCAGTTGACAATCACTTGTACAAGGCAAACGAACAGTCAGACCAACTTCACAAAAATTTCCAAAGAAGCTCGAACATTTTTAGAATTAGATGAATGAACAAAATAACATTTTTCCGGCAGAGAATCAGGGAAAGGTCCCGGATGGGTTAATATTTGCAGGGTGGTTTACTCAGAATGCGTTGAAACTACAGGTGGATTTTGGAAAATCACTTGTCAGAGTTCTCCCGTGTTTTCTGAACTCTCCAAAACTCTTAAGAAAACACCGATGCACGAGTTTTAGCCAAACAATTGGACAAGATCCAAAGCGAGCTGCACTAACATTTAGGAGATTTCAGAGTTCCCGCTCCGCCTTGTACATGCACACAAGTGTGCATACTGACCGAACCGACCAATGCATCATTTTCTCTATAGAAATACAGCGAATTATATATATATTTTCCATTTATCACTAAATTATACCATTTTCCACCTCCCTACTAGGTTCTAAGAGTACTGCAAGTTTAACTAAGCTCAGTGAGGTGCGCCGCCGATTACCCGGCGATCACCTGCAAATGGCGAGTGTTACTGAGCCTGGGCCGAGTGGGGCGCGCCAGTCACTCTTATAACATTAGCCCTGGTCCCGACTGTACACACAATGCTCAGCTGTTTCCCGCACATCTGGTCTGCCCAATCTCGAACGCCTGCCCTTTTACAGTTTGGGACGGAAGTGCGGAGATAAACTCTACAACGGTGGGAGCTAGACTATGGGGTTGGCACGGGTTGTAAGAGTGATCGTAGCTCTGTCTGTGTTCTCTAGGACTTGTGTGTTCACAGGGCAAAACAGCAAGAGTTTCAATGAAACTTGAGAATACAAAGTTCAGAATGAATAAGCAATGGCAAAGATTGACTACATCAGATGCAGGGTTTGCTAGTGCACAGGCAGGTCGACCGCCAGCACGACAAAGTAGTCGACCTGTCAAGGTAGCAAGTCTGCGGCCCGCCAACGCAGCTCGTGCACGGCTTGCCAACGCTGCAGAATGGCGGCCTGCCAATGATGCACCCGCGCGGCTTGCCAACGCTACACCCGCGCGGCTTGCCAACGCTGCACCCGCGCGGCTTGCCAACGCTGCATCCGCAGGTGATTGTAAGCGCATGTGTAAGCACCTACTTCGCAGGTGCTTGTAGACAGTTACGTACGACGTGCACTGTCGCGCACATTGCGCAGGTGCCAGGTCGGCCACATGCAGACAGTTGCACCTGATGAGCCACGTCGACCACGTGCTGCCACATCGGTCGACTTCGCCACAGCAGCCTCGTCGAGCAGGTAACCCTGCAGGTCGATGACCTTCGTCATCATCGGTTGACGACCCTCGTCGTCGCGGTTGACGACCCTCGTCGTCGCGGTTGACGACCCTCGTCGTCGCGGTCGACGACCTTCGTCGTCGCGGGTCGATGAACTTCGTCGACCACCTTCGTCGACCTCCTCGGTCGACATTTCGAAATTCCAGCTCCTCAATGGTCGAAATTAGGGCACATTCGAATTTCTAGCCAAAATTCGCCAGTGCATTCGCGAGGGTGCGCAGAGACGCGACCCTGCGCAGATGAACACCCGCGAACCTTTGCACCAGCTG